CAGTAGGAGCAACATTTATGGAGCACTTCCATGCCACACATGTTCATTTATTTACAAAAAATTGAAATATATTGCAAATAATATTTTATCTTTTTTAAAAAATTAATTTATTCTGAACATCTTTCTATGTGATTAAATATTCTTCTACAAGGCATTTTAAATAACCACATCAAATTCCATTATTTGCTAGTAGTACAATTTATTTATCTAATTACCTATTTTTGGACATTTGTGTTTGTTTCTATTTTTTTTCAAAATGGCTTTGAGATTTTTTTTTTCTAAAACTTGGATTCCCCATAAAATAGTAATGCATATTTTTTGATAAATATTGCCAAATTGCCCTTCATTGAGAGGAAATCAGTTCACACTCTTGCATGAAAGGTTGAAAGAAAACCATTCCATCTTAGAATCATTACATATACCTCATCAGTCAGGAAACAGGTTTACACCATTTCTCTTCACAATCGAGGTAGACTGAGCAGGCCCTATAATCCCATCTAAAAGATGTGGAACCTGAGCCCCAGGGAGGTTCCACGACTTGCCCTGGATAACAGCTATTTAGTGCCTGAACTCTGGCTGGAACTCAGGTTTCTGAGTCGTAATCTCAGATGGTTCCAAGCTGTCTCTTGGATCCCTTAAACAAACTCATCGCTTTAGGTTTAACAGCACGTTTAGGTCTTCTGAAGGCTTCTTTGCATGTGTGAGTGTGTTACTTTCTTCCAGGCAGAATGTGGAACTCGTGTTGTGGTTTAGAAAATATGGAACTCTGAAATCTGATAGAAAAAATCCTGGCCCCTTCACTAACTGGAAAGATTTAGCAAGACTAAGTCTCTAAGACTCAGTTTATTTAGGCGTATAATCGGGATAACAATAATCTCAAAAGTAAAGGGTGATTTTAAAAATTATGTAATGTATGTAAATGTTTAGCCTGGAGCCTAGCATATAAACACTCAATATGTGGTAGCAATATTTTTTTAGTTTTAAAGACCCTGAGTCCATCATACTAAGACTATATAATCCTAAGAGTCTGAATGTTTACTCCTAGGTTCTTTGGCTCTAAGAGCCTATAATTTTGCTCACAAAGATTAGGAGTTTTAAGGCTCCATCAGGGGCAGGGCCTGAAGGATTTGTAGCCCAGAACTTGACAGTTCCCCAGGAGAGGCCAAAGCCCAGAGAGGTATCACCTCCATTTCTCAGCTTCTAGCCATCCCAGGAAGCAGTTGGGGCTGTAAGAATCTCTGCAAAAGCATGGCTGTGCTTGGAACAGATTTAGAGAGATGTTGTCTTCCCAGATTTCCTCTCTTAGATACTGTCTAGCTATGGACAACATTCCCACTTAGTGTTGTTAAATGCTCCTTAGGAGGCTGGCTGGTTAGCTCAGTAGGCTAGAGCACAGTCTTATAACACCAAGGTCACGGGTTTGGATCCTGTCCTGGCCAGCCACGGGAGGCAGGGGGTGCGGCAGGGTGGGGCGGAATGCTCCTAAGGGAGCCTCACATGGAAGGGAAACGGCGGGCACCTTCATAGTGAGAAAGCAGCTGTTTATCGAAGGGCTGATGGTTGAGACTGGCAGGTTTATTTGAAGGAGGAGTTTGAGGATGGGGGATACTGGAGTTGAGGTGATCTTAGACATATAAAACATGAACAGTGAAAAGAAGCCCTGAGAGCTCATCTAGTCCAGAGATTTAAAACTATGTTCTGAGGAATACTACTGCCCTCCTGTCTGCCCTGGAGGGTGCTGGGGACGGGAGGTGGGTGGGAGGGAGGCGGGTGGAAATTGAGAAGCTGGATGGCTGGGTCTGCAGCTTCCACCCTCTTCAACCAGAACAATCCTCATTTCTTTTTTAACATTGGCTTTTTGGTATTTCAAGGAAGGATTCTGTTATCTGTAATCTATGTATTGATTGGTTTGTTTTTAAACTTGAAAATCTCTGGTTTAGTACAGACTCTTCATTTTACAGATGAGAACACTGAGGCCTGGAGACAGCAAAATGAACCACATAAAGAGGTAGCATCAGACAGGATTCCTCTAATTTGGTGGCTTTGGGCAAATTGCATAACTTATACGACACTCAGTTTCCTCATCTATAAAATGGAGATGTCAGCAAAAGCTTCCTGGTGGGGCTTTGGGAGCATTAAAGAAGATAATGCATGGAAAGCGCTTTGCATAGTTCATGGCTCCCCATTTTTAGCCATGATCATAGTTGTCATCGTCATCGGACTCTGAAATTAAACAAGTTTGCCTAGGTGACTTAGCAAACCAAGAGCTCCAAAGCTGTAGACATCTTGTGGTGGCCCCCAAGAGCCCCTTCCCCAAGACCTAGTAGCCACTCAGTTCCAGGAGGTGGAGCCTCTGCTAATGAAGATATATTTGCATCCACCCTGCAGTCAGGGCTTGCTGTGGGTCCTGTTAGAATTACGCCACACAGACCCAGCTCTGAAAGCCACTCTAACCCAGCCCTTGATTGGATTCCAACTCCAGATCCAGACAGGAAGGTGGCCAGAATCTAGAGACTTCCACTACCACCTGCTCAACAGCCTCTCTATTAGGGCAATCAAAAAGCCAGCAGGTGCTCCGAGCCCCGCTCTTCTCCTGCCCTCTGATTGGCTTGCTTCTTCTTCATGGAAGGCCTCTATCCATGAAGGTTTGGCTATTAAAGCACTAGCTTTATACTTGAATTTTAAAAAATATACTCTTTGTGGCAGGCAGAATTATGGCTCCTCAAAGATGTCCACATCCTAATCCTCAGAACCTTACATGGCAAAGAGGAGTAAAGGTTGAAGATAGAATTGAGGTTACTAATCAACCTTAAAATAGGGAATGCATGCTGGGTTGTTCATTGAGGTGGGCCTGATATAATCACAAGAGTCCTTAACAGTGGAAAAGGGACTCAGGAGAGAGAACCACAGAGATGGCAGCATAAAGACTTGGTCCAACATCACTGGCTTTGAAGACAGAGAAATGGGGCCATATGCCAGGGAATATGGGTGTCCTCTAGGTGGAAAAGGCAAGGAAACAGATTTTCCAAGAGCCTCCAGAAGAAATGCAGCCCTGCTGACACCTTGATTTTAGCCAGGTGAGACCCATTTCAGACATCTTACCTCCAGAACTGTAAGACAGTAGATTTGTGTTGTTTTAGTCACTAAGTTTGTGGTAACTTGTTACAGCAACAATAAGAGACGAATATGCTATTCATGATGACAACTACTGAGCTTCTATTACTTGTCAGGCTCTGTGCTAAGTACTTCGCATACATTATCTCATTTAATACCCCTAATAGTCCTGCAAGGGAAGTGTTCTTGTTCTTTTTCTAAGTGAAGATCATGGGTCAAGGACATTGAATGACTTGGCCAAAATCATACAGCTAGTTTGCAGCAGAGCAGATATCCAAAGCCCAGCACCCCTGGCTCTAAATCCACATTTCATCCAATCACTTAGGCTCACCACTCCTTCTCTGGAGTTACCTAGCTACCTCCTTAGAGAACCTTTGCTTTTAGATGCCAGATTTCAGTATTCTGGGTCACCTCATTAAGATGAGTCCAGCTGTTCTTTTGGAGGCTTAGTTTCTCGACCTGCAGAAAACGGGTAAATAATGCTTGCTGAGTGCCCTTTTGGGGCTGTGGTAAGGATTAAACTAGAATGTGGGTGGGAAGGGTCTCCATGATCTACTAAGTGCTCTCCCCATGTGAGAGACTGAGAATTTTCCCCAAACTAGCAAAATTTCCCCAAGCCATTATGACTCTCTTTTTCTGTAAGGCCAGGCATGGCTCCCAGGATAGAGGTCCCCACCAGGGACTCTAGGGAGACCTTTTGAATTGTGAAAACCAGAGGATTTGGGTTTGAAAACAGTGGTCTGGGCTCCTTTATTTTATTTTGTTTTTGCCAATTGGGTACCTGCATACATTGGTGATGGTGGTTTGGGCCATCAGAACAGTTGCTAAACTCCATTGGGACCATTTCTATTACCAATCCCCCTGCCCCAATCAGTCCCTGCCATCCCCACCAACCTTGGGGTAGCCCAAGGCTTTTGTAACCGGTCTTAATATGGCAGTTTAAGAAGATGTATCTAATATTGTGTATAAGACAGATTAGAGACCAGACGACTAGTTGGGGACTACTGTAATAGCTCGTATGTGATCTGATCGAGTCTTATTAGCAATGATGATGGAGAGAAAAAATACATCTTGGAACTATTAGGAAGGAAAAGAAATAGCTGCAGGACTTGGTACCAATTGTGCAACTTTCTCCGTAAGAAGAGAAGATTTGGGCCGACCCCATGGCTCACTAGGGAGAGTGCAGCACTGGCCGCTGGGTTCAGATCCTATATAGGGATGGCCGGTGCGCTCACTGGCTGAGCGCGGTGCAGGCGACACCAAGCCAAGGGTTGCAATCCCCTTACCGGTCACAAAAAGAAAAGGAAAAAAAAAAAAGAAGATTTGGGGCTAAGGTGGCAGGGAGGCACGTGGAACAAGGGAAGAAAAATGAGATCAGAGGGTACAAGTTGTGGATAGTGGGTCAATACTTGAAAGGGCTTTCTAGCAGCCAGAGCCATTCTGCACCAAGATAGGCTACTAGTGGAATTACCATCGGCTTTGGAGTCAGGCCGACCTGGGATGGAGTTCTGGGACTCCTACACCTTGGTATAGTACCTTGGGAAAGTTAGCCTGTGTAAGTGAGCCTCAAGTTGCTCACCCATAACATCAGAATAATACTTATTTTGCAGTCATTAAGAGGATGAAATAAGAAAATGTATAAAAAGGAGCTAGTGCTGTTCCAGAGATACGGTAGGCTCCATCAGTGGTAGCTATTGACATTAAGTGCTGAGATCTCCATTGCTAGACATCCAACCTCAAGTTAAGTGACCTCTTTTGGAGCAAGTTCTAGAAGGTTTTGAAATATTGGTAGAAGCTTGGCTAAGATAATGTGTAAGGTCCCTTTCATAGCCCAACAGCAGTTCCACGTCTAAGGAATTCACTATAAGGAAGCAATCTGTTCAAAGTTACATGCACAAGGTATTTATTTCAGAGTTGTTTATTTTGGCTAAGAATGTGGAACAACCTAAAACCCACCAATGAGGAAATAAATCATGATACATCCCTATCATTAAATACTTTGCAAGTCATTTAAAATGTTGGTGCACCTGTTTGTTGACATAGAATAATAATCACATATTCCTCAGTAAAAATGGAGATTACTAAAAATACATTGTATTATATTGTTCTATTTTATTTTAAAACATACTTAAAATATTTGCATTAAAAAGCCTTAGAAAACTATGTTTCAAAATATTGACAGTGGTTATTGATGGATACTAAGCTTTGGGGCAAATTTAATTCTTTTCCTTGGTTTGTTTGCATTTTACAATTTTTCTCTGAGTGAGAATTACTTGTGTAGTAGTAGTAGATGTAAAAGGTGACAGAATTCTGAGGTTCTGTCAACTGCTGGGATGTGGAAAGGTCAGAATTCAAGGTGATTGGTGAAGGTTGGAGCCCAGACCCCGCCCCGTCTTCTCTGCAGCTGAGATCCGGGAGCATAGCAGAACTCCAAAGGCTCAGGAGAAGATAGGCCTCAAAGCAGACAGCCCCAGTGAGGTGAAGCCATCAGGAGCACCAGGCAGAAGGTGGCCCAAATCAGACAGCAGCCAGAAGTCCCTGCAGATAAAGACCCCCCTGGAGACTGCAGCCTCAAGCCCCCCCCCTTCCCTCCTGACCCAGGTGTTAGGGAGGGGACGATTCCAGAAGGTGGGGGACTCTTTCAGCCTCTGGGCTGGGGTGCCCCTGACAGCAGCCAGAAGTCCCTGCAGATAAAGACCCCCCTGGAGACTGCAGCCTCAAGCCCCCCACCCCCTTCCCTCCTGACCCAGGTGTTAGGGAGGGGACGATTCCAGAAGGTGGGGGACTCTTTCAGCCTCTGGGCTGGGGTGCCCCTGGAGCTGCAGTGCCTGGGGAAGGTGGTCTGCTGGAGGGTGCCTGTGTACCTGGGGGAGGCGGGCGAGGGGCTCCTGAGGTATATGGTGGAGGAACTCTCTGGAAAGCCTGAATGTGTCAGAGTTGGGTGGGTCACAGGATGTGCATGAGCAGGGTTAATGTGAACACAAACACATTAACAACAGTTTCACAGGGATTAAAATGGCTCAGAACCCACACTGGGCATCCCCTTATATATAATAGGAGGCACCTAAAAGAAACAGTAAGATGGGCCCACGAGACCCGTCAGATGCAGAGTGGTTTAACAGAGCGGGAGACAAGCCTTACCATACTCCCGAGCTGCTCAATGCTGGGTGGCAGCAAGTAGTGCCTGTAAGCAAATGGTGGTGATGGCAAGACAAAAGAGGCTGACTGTTCCACCTATCTGTGCTTGGAAGTCAGGTTGGAGGCCACCCTTCTGCCGGAGACGCCATCATAGGGAAGCCAGAAATAAAGCAAAATTGACCAGCATTTCTTATCCCAGTCCAGAAGAAAATCAGGCAGAGGCTGGGATATAAAAATGGGCCCAGAAGATTTGTCTCCCCTCTCACTTTAGCCTCTTAGAATGGGATTTCCTGGGGCTCTGCCTCCTTCAGCAAGCAGAGGTGCTGAGAGGGCACTTGCTGACCTCAACAAAGGGATGCAAGAAAGGTGATAAGTAGCACAAAGGAGTTTGGGGAATTCCACTTGCAAAGTGTGGGCGAGGCCAATGGGGAGAAGATGGACCGATTAGAAGGTGGCATGAGGTATGGGGTTAAGCGAGCCAATCAGAAACTGTGGGTAGGGCCACTATAAATCCTAACAGCTCAGTTGGAGAAAAAGGGGAAGATTGGATGGATAGAGTTGAAAGTCAGAGATGGGGAGGAGGATTGTCAGCAGACCTAGTGCTGTCCACTAGGTGTCTCTGGCCATCCCCATCTCCCGCCCTGCCCACCCCAACGACTGTGTTTCAGAGTCAAGCACTGCTACTGGTGAACTCCATGGGCGAGGACATTGGGGAATATAGCTGCTGTGCTTGACACTGCCAGGATGGTGCATTCGTGGAAGGTAAGGACCACCAGGGAAAGACCTTCCTTTTCTTCACCTGTACCCTAGAGTCAGGTTCTCCAAGAAGCTGCATTGGGGAAAGTCCTCCAGACATAACTCTCTTAAAGCTTTCTGTTTAGGCCCACCTATAAAAGGATCTCCAAGATCCTTCTGGTGACATTCTAGGATTGTATGTCTAATTCCATGGAGAATTGAGTAGTCACAGTGTCTAGCCACAAATACAGAATATTTCCATCATCACAGAAAGTTCTATTGGACGGCACTGCTCTAGAAAGCTGGTCTCCAGATAATTCCTGTTCATTGAACCATTGTGCACCCAAGAACTTGACCTGAGACGGTGTTGTTAAAAGTACCTTGAAAGAGTTTGATGAAGGTTAGCTTCCCATGGGCCTGGTGCCTCATATCCAGTATCTCATTTGCTTCTTATCAGCTCTGCAAAGTAGGCCAGAATGGGATTGTTGCTCCCACTAGACATATGAGAAGAACCAAGGCTCAGAGGAAGAAGTGAGTTGCCTGAGATCCAGTGGGTGGCAGGACTGGGAATCAAACCGGAACCTTGACTTCAAGTTCAGTATTTTCTGTAATATTTTTCACATAGAAGGGCCCTCAGAGACCAAGCAGTCTAAAATCACTCATCATACATGATAAAGACCAGAGAGGGAGAGATTTAAGACACAGCAAGCTAGCGACAGAGCCGGAACTAGTAAGCTTGTCTTCAGCATCCTTAGACCAGGACCCCTTATGAGAGGAAAGAGCATGGAGAATGGGGATGGCTAGAGAAAGGGAGGTTTCAGGTCCCCACGAGGGACCTCATGTCCCTGGACAGCAGGAGAGCATTGGGAAGCAACAAATCTGTCCCACACTTATTTTTCTCTCTCTCATTCCCAGACCTAGAGGAGCTCTTTGTCCCTATGGAGAATTACTGTGAGGTGGTACAGTTATTCACACATCAGCCAGCCCTGCTTCCCTGCCAGGTGACCAACACCCTGGCCCAGGTGACACTGTACCAGGAGTTCCCCCTGTGGAGGTCCCAGTGGATGGGATGGACATCTCCTCTCATGTGAAGAAGTGCTTCACCATCACCGGCCCCAAGCTTCCTTGTCTGGCTCCCTCTTCTGCTTGGCAGTCTAGGCGGCATGAGACAAATATCTACCAAGTACATGCTGATCTACATCAACTGTGGGTGGACCTAGGGCTCTGGGTGGGCAGGGAAGGGAAGGAAATGGGGAGAGATACCTCCTCTGAGAACCTCTGGTTTGAGGTCTGTGGATTATGGAGCTCTACCAACCAAGCAGCTTTCAACAACACACCATGGAGTCAACCATTTTGTCTAGACAGCCAGCCAATTAACTGTCAGCTAGCCTGCATCAGTTCAGCCTTTCTATCCATCCACATATTCTCAATCGAGTATTCCATTCATCCATCCCTCAGATGAACCATTTTATCTTCCAACAGGCCAGTCATTCCACCATCCACCCATCCTCCATTAATTCTTTGTATCCATCCACACATTCTCTATCAACTCAACCACCTCAACCATTTATCCTCTATCAATTTAACCATCCCATCCATTAATTCCATTCATCCATCTCTCCATCTGCCTGCCAGCAATTCAGCCATCCTAACAATCAACTCGATGTGTTTGTCCCCATCTTCTCTCCCCTCTTATCCATGGCAGACCTATCTTTCTCCCCCAAACCTGCCATCCAAGCTTCAGCGACATTGGTTCAACTAGGCAAGAACTTCAGTGTGACCTGCACAGTTCTGGGTGAGCCAGATATTGCTGTGGACTTTAGCTGGGAATATTCAGAGCAGAAGGTAAGCAGAGGGTAAGAGGCAGCTGTGTGTACATGTGTATGTGGTGGTGGTGTGTTGGGGCAGGAGGTGGGAGTGAGGGATTAGTCTGGGGGACAAAATGATCATGGCAGAATGGAACCGCTGCTGGACCAGAAATCTGATGAACTTGGATTCTAGTCCCAACCATAACACTGTTTCTCTGAGTAACCTGGCGCAAGTCACTTCCCTTTTCTGGGCCTGTTTCCTCATTTGTCAAATAGAGCTACTTCTCAGGTTACTGCATAAGAATGTATAATTTGTTCCTTTGTTAATTTATCCTATGGTGATTACTAAGCATGCACCACATGCCAGACACTGTACTAGGTACTATGGTCACAACGATAAATCAAAAAGAGATACAGTTTCCGCTATCTGCAAGTTTTTCATCTAGGTAGGAAGGAGGAAGTGGGAAATGGACAAGCACAACCATGTAGATAATGCCAAGTGCTACGAGAGTAAAACAGGCCAATGTGATAGGGTCTACTTAAGATAGAGTGGTCAGGGAGTCATCTCCAAGGTGACATTCAAGCCGAGATCAGACTGGCCCCAAGCACATAAAGACTTATGCAAGTGTTTAGGCTGTATGGTGTATGTGTGTGTGTGTGTGAGGGGAGATGGACCAAATGCATTTGTGACTGTTTCCTGGGCATTCGCTGTGGGCCTGGACCTTCCCAAGGTGGTGGAGAGGTGGTGGTGGCGGTGGTGGTGTTCTTTCTTCTCAAAGAACTTACCGCTATCCACTCAAACATCTGGGGAACACTCGTGCCATGCAGTTTACTATCAATACTGGGGACTTTAGGAATTCTTAAAAGGATTCCCTGGAAGAGCTGGAATTTGATAGGAGCCTTGGAGGGTGAGATTTAGGTAAGTGGAAGGCCTTCTAGGCCCATGGCAGCAGGAGCAAGAGCAAGGATAAACATGTCATATACACAGATGGGACCCAGAGACCTATCTGTCCCACCACTGCCACCTGCTGAGAACACAGAGGAGTGTGGGGCCAAGGAACCCAAGCATCATCCTCTAGACTCTCAGGAGTCATTGACAATGTCTGAGCAGTGGGCTGACCTTGTGTAGGGTCAAGGACAAAAAGTGGGACAGAAAGACCCATGAGGGGCTATCACCCAGCCACAGGCCACTTAAAAGTATAGGACTTGGAAAAAAGGTGCTCTGCAAGCTGTGACTTATTGATAAGATCATCATTTTCAGCAGCCCTGAAAGAGAGGCCAGTGGAGCCCAGCTAGGGTGCTCTGTTCTCCCTTAACTCAAAATGCTCTAGCTTCGGGCCGGCCCGGTGGCGCACTGGATAAGTGCACCGCTTGGGAAGCGCGGCGGCGCTCCCGCCCGAGGGTTTGGATCCCACATACAGACCGGCCGCTCACTGGCTGAGTGAGGCACGGGAGCGACGCCGAGGGTTGCAATCCCGTTGCCGGTCCCCGGTCCGGTGCGGGGGCAACACTGAGGGTTGCGATCCGTTGCCGGACACGGAAAAAGACAAAAGACAAAAAAAAAAAAAAAAAAATGCTCTAGCTTCACTTTGCTCCAGGCATTTGGGCAGTCTGAGACAGTACACGGTGAACCTTGAGCCTGAGTCTCCCCAGTTTCACTTTGCTTGACTCAGTGTTTCCCATTTTTCATAATGGAATCCCCACCCCCCCAACCTCCCATTTTGTGGAGGTAGCACCTATTAACATTCCTACAGAACCAGAGGCCACAAAACCCACGTTAGGCAATGCTGCTCTGGGTTGAGTTACCTCTGGAACACTCCTTGAGTAGAGGAGGGGACACAGCTTCTCTCCAGAGACTTGAGAAACAAAGTTTTTCACAAAGAACCTGGCCTTTAAGGTGCTCTGACACCAAGACAAGGTGTGACCTTGAGTAAGTCACTTACCCTTTCCCTGAAAGGATACACGGTACCTCTCACCGATTTGCTGGTGCCTGAGTCAGAGATGGCATCTGGGGGAGCTGATGAACAGTTATTTTTTGTCCCCTGCAGCTGGGCTGACTCCCCCCCCTCCCTATGTTAGTGAGCAGGTTGATGTGGTATGCCAGGAGGGCCAGGTACAGCAGGAGGCAGAGAGCACCCTGTATGTGGAAGAGACCTGGGCTGAGGAGGCTGATGTCTACATCTGCTGGGCCACCAACCTTCGGGGCATGGGGTCTGCCACTACCCACGTCCATGTGACCCAAAGCCAGGTCTCCCTAACCTGCTCCTAGCTCCCTCCCTGGCTGCAGGCATCTGGGTGTGGAGCAATGAGTAGAAACAGAGGGAAGTAACTGTGGGATCCTCAGTTTTTCCATAGCTGAGGAGCCCCCACCTCTGAGAAGAAAGCACCTTCCCATTCTCCTCTGGCACTCTGCGATCCCATCACTGTTTTCACCCCCTCGCCTAACCGCACCCTCACCTAAGCCTAGACCTATTTTGAAGGACATCCTTTAGTCTAGCCTTCACCTTGGCCCCAGGCTCCACCTTCAAGGCTTGGCCAAAGTTAGGGCCAGTGGGGCTCCAGTAGCTGAAGAGGGAGCCCAGAACTGCTGGTGGGCCATCTGGGCCCCAGGATTTATTCTTCAAAGATCCCTGCCACTGGCAACAGGCCGTAGTGAAGACCCACCTCCTCCCCATCCCAAGAAAACACAGAGGCCAAGTAAATAAGATTCTGCATGTTCTTGTACTTTCTGTACCTTGTTTGCCCCAGAGTGAGAGTACGACCAGTTTATCTTCTTCCCACATCCACCACAGGCTATGTGAGAGAAACCCCACTCCCCAAGTCTTGCCTCTTCTCCAACCCTGCACCTCTCAATTAAAAGGATGCTTTCTAAAGTGTATTCTGCAGCCTGAAATGCTTACAGGGTGGGATTGGGGATTGGGGCAGAAGCTTGGTCAAAGTAATTTGGGAAATGCTGGATATTTTGCTCCCTTCTTGGAAATTTGTAATGCCCATTGGCATATTAAAGGTTCTGAGAAGTCCTGCAGGTTTGCAGATCTGTTTAGCTTGATTGAACCTAGAGTTTCCCAAAATACTTGGCCACTGTTTCTTCTCTGGGTCATGCCCGTTAATGTCCAACAAACTAGCCTATCCCAGATGTGCTTTGGAAAAACTTGCATGAAAAAGTACATGTGTGCTTTCACTCCAGAGCTGTTCTTAAGGCTCCCAGATAATCTGTTTGACCATAGCTGGAGAAGCAGCTCAGCAGCTGCTTAGCCCTACCTCTTCTCCTGCTCAGCTGGGGAAATGGAGAAACAGCCACATATGAACTTCTAGACCTAGAAATGGATGGAGACCATATCCAGGGGAATGAAGACGGCAGTCTGGGATGATGCCACCATAGAGTGACTGATGGAAAATGAAGATAGACTTTTCCTACAAGCTGGCCCAGGACTTGGGCCTGAAGCTGGGGGACCTCAGGCATGGCCCTTTGGCTCTTGTGATCTCAGTTTGCTGTTAGTGAGGGATCAGAACCTGTTTCAAAGATCTTATGAGGATCAGGGGAGGGAGGGGAATATGGAAGCACCTTGATGAAAATGCTCTATGCAGGGTGGGGTTCTTGTAGTCTCCAGCTGATTCGAAGCTTCCTGAGAAGAATCTGAAATCCACAGACTGTCAGGGCTGGACAGGCCTGCTGAAGCTGGTTCCTCCAGCCACCCCTTTTCACTGATGGGGAAGCTGAGGGCCAGGTTTGTAGGAGCCATGGAGCGGAGGTGGCAGAAAAAGGAATTTAGGAAAAGAGGAGTAAAAGAGAGGCTGGAAGTCAGTGGCAGCCAGGTAGAGGAAGGAGGAGAAAGATTAAGTCATGGGTCTGACATTCGCAGAGCCTGGGGAGAACAAGACAAGCAGCAGGATAAGACTGGATGACAGACAAGGTCCTAGTCCTGGCTCTGTGGGATCCGCTCTCCACCTCGGTTTCCTCATGTGTATAGGGGTGAGGTTCCAGCTCTGACTGTTGAGTGTACTCAGATCCACTAAGGTGGCCCCTGTGCCCAGGTGGCACTGAGACGGAAGGACCAGGAGGGCTGAGGGGAGAAGCCTTGCCTGGCAAGAGAAGAAGAGCTCTGGCCATTGCCCCTCTACTAACCATACTCTGGCACCAGGAGCGATGCCTCAGCTGGGGTGGCTGCCTGGCCCTGCCAGCCCCAAGTGCCTTCAGGGACTCCCTCCCGGTCACTCATCTTTCCCAGTCACATCCACAGGGTTTGTTCACCCTCCCTGCAACCCCTACATCTGCCCTTCAGACAATCCTAGAATGGGACACTGCAGTGACCAGTCCCCACAACCATTTGAGAGCAGGGGTAAACTGAGGCTGAGCAAAGGCCAGGGCAGAAGTGGGAGAACCCAGGAGGAAGCTGACAAGCCGGTGAGTCAGCAGCAAAGCTGACAAGCCGGGACTGGAGGTTGGCTCCTCTTTGTCAGATGGCCAAAGTGGCCCAGGCTAGCGCTGGGAAAAGCCTCAGAACTTCCTCGATTTGGACAGGGAGAAGGGGAGGGAGGAAAGGACTCCTCTTGCTTGTTCCCTGGGCCAACTCAATGGAAGGCGCCTCTTGCTCAGGGCCTCCAATGCCCCGTGGGCAATTCCACATGATCCAAGACCCCAGGGCTCACTGGGCACACACCCTGGCTCCCCATCTCACTCCTACCCTCATTCCTTCCTGGGAAAAGAACCCAGAGGCTCCTGCTGTCTTCTCTGCAAAGTCTTTGGAGGGAGCTGTGACCACAGGCATTGCAACAGCCCTGGGTCCTGTGCCCTATGTGGCAAGAAAGGAGACCTCCGTAGGGGTGACGGAGGCCAGGGGGAAGGCAGGGGAGGTGTTGGCCCCGAGGACCCGGTACAGCAGCTCCTCCTTCTCCTGCTGGAGCTGTCGCCGTAACTGCGACTCCTTCTCCAGGGCCTCACGGGCTAGAAGCACGTCTTCTGAGAGCTGCCTGCGGGTAAAGACAGAGCCCAGGGTTGCCTATTGGAAACAGCTGCCACAGAGACCAACCCGTTTCTCCAGGAAGCTTTCCTTAGATGGGCCACCAGCCTGCTCTGGGGCCACTGCCCCCTCACTGTGTGCCTGCATGCCCGAGACAGTTCAATCTGTTGACCAAGGAGCCAGGGCCTCCCAGGCAGATGGCTCAGGGTCGCTCCAAATCTCTGCTCCACCATTTAGCTGTGTAATCTTGGAAAATCATTCACTCTTACTAATTTCAGTTTCCTTATTTGTAGAATGGGATTAATAATAATAGGACCCACCTCTTAGAATAATTATGGGCTGGGCATCCCTAACCCCAAAATTTGAAATCCAAAATCCAAAACTCTTTGAACTCTGACATGATGTTCAAAGGAAATGCTCTAGTGGATTTTCACATTAGGGATGCTCAACCAGTTAAATATCTGCAAATATTCCAAAAATCTGAAAAAATCCAAAATCCAAAACATTTCTGGTCCCAAGCATTTCAGATAAGGGATGCTCAACCTGTATAAGGATTAGATGAGAATATATGTATTCAATAAATTATGCCTAACACATAATACTAGTTCTCATTTACTAAGCCCTTAGAGCTGATTTAGTCCACTAAGGCCTGGTGAGCTGTAGTTTCCTGTTTCCTCTTTCCCATATCGGACTTTCCCATAGAGACCACTCAGCCAGGATGGAGACAACCAGCTACTAATCAGGGCATTGGGACTTTGGATTCCAGTCAGAGCCGATTCCTCAGGTTTCCTGACTCCCAATGAAAGAGGAGTCACTCTCCCTAGACAGGCCCTGGGCCCACCCGTCAATCGATTCCCCAGGCTTCTCTGAGACTCTTGCAACTGCAGATTTTGGCAAAAATGGTAGTGGGGGAAGGAGGAAAGGAGGCAGGACGACGGCTACCTTGACAGAACCACCTGGTTCCGGCCTCGGACATGGAGGTCCTCATTTTCCTGTTGCAGAGTTGTGATTTTTTCCTCCAACATCAGATTTTTTTCTTTCTGCAACAAATTGGAACACACTCAGAAAGCTGCCGAGTTCACATGGCACAATGTGTGCTATTACCTCCCTCTTATCTGTGGTCACTGAAAGCACTGATTCATTCCAGACTGGATGTTATTTTTCATGGAACAAGAAGATAATTTAAAAAAATAAAACTAAGGAGTTGACAAAGGGCTGCCAACTTTGAATTGTGCCACAGGAAAATGTTAAGAAAAAGAATACAGCCACTATCATCTCCTATCTCCATCGGTTCACAGAAGATAAGACTTACCTTTCCCAGAAGATAAGACTTTTGTTCTCCAAAAGTCAGAAAGGTATGATCTATATAAATAAAATGAAGTCCATGTTTCCACAAAAAGTGGTTGAACAAAATTTATAGGGAACGTTTGCGATGGTCTAATTGAAATGCAGTTTGTATAGCACCCAGGAGGCCAGGGAGACTTCTTCCAGAGCAACGTCTCTGCTCAGATTCGACCCTAGGTTTCTGAGGCTTCTGTTCTCCTGGAGACAAAGCCACCTGTGTCCTCAAGCCCCACACCTCCCCAGCCCTGTCCCTGCTGATGCTGTCCTCCCTTATCTTTCTGGCCTTTCAGCCTTGCCTCCTTCCTCAGCCCCTGCCTGACATGTGACATCTGCCAGCCCCTGCTGATTAGGCAGGCCACCTACCCCAGTGTCACTCACATTATAGCAACGTGCATAGACAAGAAAGGCACAGGACCCAGATGATAAGGAGCTGCTGCTTTACTCAGACTGGCCATAGACCAACCTCATCTGGTCAGCGTGGGTTGCAGATCAAAGCTTCTGTGGACCAGGCTGGGGCCTCCTCAAACCACCTCCCCTCTGTGTGCTTTACAAAGAAGTGCCCAGAAAGCAGAAGCCTGAAGCTGCATCCCCCCATCCATGCCCAGCCACGGACCACTGTTTCCATGAAGATCAGCCGCTTGTCTAGCTCATGAATACGCTCATTCTTCATCTCGATGACGAAGTGCAAACTCTCCAGCTCCTGCTCCCAGAAATGGCTGGGGCTCCCATAGTCCTAGACAGGAACACAGAGGGACCTCATCAGACCAACATGTAGAGAAGGGTATTGGCCACCTCGCTCTTCCCCATTCTGCCACCAACTCACTGTTTGAATTTTATAAGTCATCTTCCTCTCTAATAACTTTATCCTAATAACATCCTTTGAGGCCTGTACTAATACTCTCACTGATGAGGAAACTATAGTTCAGATAGGTTGAGCCACTTGTGCTAAGTAGTAGATTTGCTATTTGCACACAGCTCTCTCTGAATCCAGAGCCCGAGCACTTCACTATCCCATATGTCTCTCTCTGAGTTTTACTTTCCCCCTTAGTGAAATAGAGACCCACCTGCTTCCAGATCCTTGTGAAGGTAAGAGTGTCAGGTCTGAGCCTTGCCCTTGAAGAGGGGCTGGGCTTTCCTGTTGCCTGACCCTGACCTCTCTGGAAATTCAAAGAGAAAAGGCCCCCAGGTGTACTGCCACCTACCTGGATGTGCTTCTTATAGTCTTGGCTCAGAATGGACTCCTCCACCCTTTTTATCTTGGCCTGGAAGGCCTCCAGCTGTGAGTTCAGTCCATCTATGGTCTCCTGGAGAAGGGAGCCAAACATCACATTACTCTCCCAACTGCAAGATGCATTCTTGTCTTGAAACTTTTCCCCTGCCAAGAATTTCCTCTACCTAAATCTTGACCATTCCCTTTAGGAATGAGTGCAACCCTTTAATATGGCTCACGAGCTCCCACCTTTTGGTCCTTGCCTCCCTCTCAAGCCCCATCCCTCTCTCCCACTCAGACTCTAAACTTCAGGCATCCTGGACTTCTTTCAGTTCAACATTTCTCCCACTTTCCTCCATGTTTTTGAGTACATTGCCTTTTTTCTGCCTAAGACACCTTTCTACTCTTCTTCACCTGAAGAATTTCAACCCATCCTTCAGGTTCCAGCTTAGATCTTGCTCCCTTTAGGAAATCTGCCCTGTGCAGCCCAGTGGAGACAGATGTTGTCTTTTGTGCTTCCACAGGCCCCTGTGTATCCACCACCCACTCTAATCATGCTGTGGCCCCAGCCCATGCAGTCTCCAACATCCTCCCAGCAGTCCTTGGAAAAAGAGGCCAACCCAAATCTCAAATCAAGTCCTCTTAAGCTAATAGCCTGGTCACCACATCAACGGGCCTATGTACTCCAAAGACAATCTCTCAGTCCCTCACACCCAGTCAGAGGCCATTGAGTTTGGCTGCTTTGGGGCCCCATGTGCTTTGCTGACAGTCCTCCCCTACTATGAAACTGACCTGACCCAGCCCTCTCACCTGCAGGGCAGCTTTGGCCTCCTGGAAGGAGTGGGTAAGGGCTTCTTTCTCCTGTTCATATGAGGCTCGGAGGACTGTAGGGAAAGAAGACCTCCATAAGCTCAGATACTTCTCCCCAAAGCCTTCCGGCAGGCCCCTTCAGGGCCAGAAAGGTACAGATGATTACTTGGGGCCCATAGGGGACAAGAGTCTGAAAATGGTCTTATTCATCCTTTTGTCTCCTAGGCTTGCTTGGGGGCTGTGCCAGAAATATACTAGATATTTAATAAAAGCTCATGAGCATGGAAACAAATTATATCCTGGGAGGAACTGTGAACACTACCCACACATCACTGAGGTTAAGATCCAAAGATCTTGCAGTGAGCTTGTTCACTGCAGATAACATCAGGCCATGGAGAATGCACAGGGCCAATGATTTGTGAACTGGGTTAGCCAAATCACAAAATCATTAGTTGTCAAACAAAAGCACAAAACAGGGAGAAAAAAGATGGGTAAAAAAAAAAAAAAAAAGAAGTGAACAGAGCTTCAGGCACCTGTAAGTCAATCCCTAAATATTTAAGGTTTAAATTGTCAGAGTCAAAGAAGAAGAGAAGAATGCAGAGCAGAAAAATTATTGGAAGAAAGAATAGTTGAATAGTTCTCAAATTTGGCAAAACATAAACCTATGGATTAAAGAAGCTCACTGAACCCCAAAGTAACACCCCCCCCCAAATCCACAACCAGACACATCATTCCTGAAAATTGATGACAAAGAAAAAATCTGGAACAAAACCAGCAAAAAAATCGTACATTTCTTACATGGAAGAGCAGTTTGAACGACTGCATTTCTCGTCAGAAACCTTGGGGACTTGAAGGAGGGTGAAAATTTAAGAACTGCTGAAATGAAAGAACTATAAACCCAGAATCCTATATCTAGTGAAAATATCCTTTAGAAAAGAAGGTGAAATAAAGACATTCTCAGATGAAGAAAAACTAAAATAATTAATTACCAGCAGAATTGCCAAAGGAAGTTCTTCAGTCAGAAGGGAAATGATACCACAGCGAAACTTGGAACTTCAGAAATGTAGGAAGAGCAACAGAACCAGCAAGCGCCTGTGCAAATATGCAGAATTGCCAAAGGAAGTTCTTCAGTCAGAAGGGAAATGATACCACAGCGAAACTTGGAAATTCAGAAATGTAGGAAGAGCAACAGAACCAGCAAGCGCCTGTGCAAATACAGTAGACTATTCTTCTTCTCTTGAGCTTTTAAAAATGTGATTGATGGTTAACAGCAATAATTATAATATTGTCTGATGGGGTATTCAATATATGTAGGCATAATACATAAGACAAGTGTAAATAAAAAGAGAGGGTACAGATGGACCCATGTGATAGTACAGTCCCTACATTCCACTCAAAGTGGTAAAATATCAAATTATAATATTGTCTGATGGGGTATTCAATATATGTAGGCATAATACATAAGACAAGTGTAATAAAAAAGAGAGGGTACAGATGGACCCATGTGATAGTACAGTCCCTACATTCCACTCAAAGTGGTAAAATATCAATTTTTTTTTTTTTTGTCCTTTTTGAGACCGGCTGCACCGTGCTCAGCCAGTGAGCACACTGGCCATCCCTATAAAGGATCTGAACCCACGGCAGGAGTGCTGCTGCGCTCCCAGCGCCGCACTCTCCCGAGTGCGCCATGGGCTCGGCCCGTAAAAAATCAATTTTAAGTGGACTGTTAAGTAAGTATATTGTAACTCTCAGAGCAATCACATACACACTAAACAAAGAGATATAGTAAAAAAGACAACAAACAAGTTAAAATGGAATACTAAAAAGTGTTCAAACACTCCAAAAGAAAGTAATAAAGGAAAAATAATGGATAAAAAACAGAGAGAACAAACAGAAATAAATACTAAAATGGTAGACCTAAATCCAACCATATTAATAACAACACTAAACAGAATAAACACACCAAATAAAAGACAGAGAATGTCAGAATGGATTAAAAAAAATCCCAACCCAACTATGTGCTATTTACAAGAAATCTACTTTAAATATATGTCATAAGTAGGTAGAAAGTAAAAGAGTGGAAAAAGAAACACTAATCAAAAGAAAGCTGTAGTAGCTACATTAATTTCAGATGACGTACAAGTAAGAGCAAGAAAGTAAGCTTTTTTTTTTTTTTTTTTGACATACAAGTAAGCAAAAGCTGACAGAACTTAAAGGAGAAATAGACAAATACAGAATTATAGTTGGAGATTTCAACACTCCTTGTATTCAATAAAATGAAGAGAAAATCAGCAAGAATATAGAAGAACTGAATACTATGAACCAATTTGATTCATTTATTTATAAAATACTCAACCTAATAACAGCAGAACACACATTCTTTTTGAATGCACATGAAACATTCACGAGAGACCATATTCTGACTCATAAAAATTAACAAATTATAGAAAGAGTGAAATACAAACAATGTTCTCTGACCATAATGGAATCTGCTGTGGTTTGAATGTGTCGTCTCAAAACTCATGTGTTGGAAACTTAATCCCCCATGCAGTAGTGCTGGAAGGTTGGCCTTTGGGAGGTAGATTAAAGCCACTATAAAAAGGGCTTGTGGGAGTAGGTGGTGCTCTCTCTCCCTCTCCTGCTCTCCAGCTCTCCTGTCCTGTGAGGACATGGTATTTCTCTCTGTTGGAGGACACAGCATTCAAGGCACAATCTTGGAAGCATAGAAACCTGGCCCTAAGCTGCTGGGTGCCTTGATCTTTGACCTCCCAAGTCTCTAGGACTATGAGAAAATAAAACTCTGTTCTTTACAAATTACCTAAACTCAAGTATTCTGGTATAGCAGCACAAAACGAACTAAGACAGAATCAAACTAAAAATCAATAATAGGAAGAGAACTGGAGAATCTCCAAATGCTTGGAAATATACTTCCAAATATACAGTGTTCAAAACAGGAAGTCTAAAAGGAAATCAGAAAATATTTTGAACTGAACAAAAATGAAAATACAAAATCTCAATTTGTGGGATGCAGACAAAGTATGCTTAGGGGAAATTTATAGCATTAAATGCTTATATTAGAAAAAGAGAAAGGTCTCAACTCAATAATCCAAGTTTCTAGCTTAAGAAATCAGAAAAAAAAAAAAAAAAGAGCCAGCTAAACATAAAGCAAGAAAGCAGAGGAAGTAAATAAAAATAACAGAAATTCAATGAGATTGGAAATGAAAAAATAAGGGGGTAAAAAAAAAAATCAATGAAACCAAAAGGTGGTTGTTAGGAAGAATTAAAAAAAATTGATGAACCTTCAAGCAAGACTAACCAATAAAGAAAGAGAACACACAAATTACCAATATTAGGAATGCAAGAGGGTTATCCAAAGAGGGTATCATTACAGACACAGCAGACATTTGAAATGATATTAAGAAAATACGATGAACAATTCTATGCACATAAATTTGACAACCTAGATGAAATGTACGAATTCCTCAAAAACTCCAAACTACCAAAACTCATTCAAGGTGTAATATATAACCTGGACATTCCTACAACTATTAAAGAAATTGGATTTGTGGTTAAATGTTTTCTGGAAAAGAAATGTCCAAGCACAGATGGTATCAATGGTAAATTTTACTAAACATTTTTAAATGATACAACACCAATTCTATACAATCTTTTCCAGAAATAGAAGATGGGGGAACATTTCCCAACTCAATCCATAAGGCAAGCTTTACCCTGATACTAAAACCAGACAATAGTATAAGAAAACTACAGACCACTGTGTCCTCACAAACATAGACAAACATCCTCAGTAAAAGATTAGCAAATCAAATTCAGCAATATATAAAAAGAATAAAATGATATGATCAAGTGAGGTTCACACCAGGAATGCAAAGCTAGTTCAATATTTGAAAACTCAAATCAATGTAATCTGGGCTAAAGGAAAAAATTGGAAGAGCCAATTTTTGAGGTCAATTTCAATAGCATCAAAAATATACACAATCTTCTCTAAAGAAGATATACAAATGGCCAATAAGCACATGAAAAGATGCTCAATAAAATTAGTCGTTAGGGAAATGCAAGTCAAAAGCACAACAAAATACCACTTCACACTCTCTAGCATGGCAATAATGATGATGATGATGATAATAATCATAATGGTAATGGAAAATAAGTGATAGCAAAACTGTGGCCCAGCTGGAACTCTTGTGTACTGCTGGCGGGAATGTAAAGTGCTGCGGCCACTGTGGAAAACTGTTCAGCAGTTTCTCAAAAAGTTAAGCACAGAATCACCATATGACCCAGTCATTCTATTGTTTGGCATGAGCAATGCCGAGGGTTGCGATCCCGTTGCCGGTCCCGGTCCGGTACGGGTGCAACACTGAGGGTTGCGATCCGTTGCCGGACACGAAAAAAAAGACAAAAAGGAAAAAAAAAAATCAATGTAATCTACCATATTAACAGTCTAAAGAAGAAAAACTGTGTGATTATATGAATCAGATCTAAATGTAAAATCTAAAACCATAACATTTTTTGAAGAAAACATAGGAGAAAATCTTTGTTACCTGGGGTTCAGCAAAGAGTTCATAGACATGATACTAAAAGCATAATCAAGAAAAGAAAAAAAAATAATAATAAATTAGACTTTATCAAAAGTAAAAGTTTTGCTTTGTGAAAGCATTAAGAGAATGGAAACAAATAAACAGACAAAAAACCAAACTCTGGGGTTCAGCAAAGAGTTCATAGACATGATACTAAAAGCATAATCAAGAAAAGAAAAAAAAAAAATAATAAATTAGACTTTATCAAAAGTAAAAGTTTTGCTTTGTGAAAGCATTAAGAGAATGGAAACAAATAAACAGACAAAAAACCAAACTCTGCAGAGTAGGTGAAACTATTTGCAAATACAAGAACTCATATCCAAAACATATAAAGATCTCTCAAAACTAAACAGTAGGAACAAACAAGCTAATTAAAATGGGAAAAAGAGTTGAACAGGTATTTGACCAAAGGATATGCAAATGGTAAATAAGCACATGAAAAGATGTTCAATATCATTAGTCACAACTGAAATGCAAATTAAACCCATAATGAGATGTCACTGCACACCTATTAGAACAGCTAAAAAAAAAAATAATAATAAGTGTTGGCAAGAAGAAGAAACAGTGGAGCTCCTGCATCACTGATGGTAATGTAAAATGGTGGTCACTCGGGAAGCAGGGTAACTGTTTCTCATAAAGCTAAACATACATTTATTGTATGACCTATCAATCCCATTCCTATGTATTTACCCAAGAGGAATGAAAACTTATGTCTACACGAAATCCTGTACATGAATGTTTAGATCAGCTCTATTCGTAATCACCCCAAACTGGAAAGAACCCAAATGTCCTACAACAAGTATGAATTAGCAAACAATGGAATACAACTCAGCAATAAAAAGAATGAGTTATTGAGACAGGCAAAATTTGAATGAATCTCGAAAGTATTATAATGAGTGAAGGAAGCCAATGTCAAAAATCGTATTGTATTATCTCATTTATATAACAGCCTTGAAAATACAAAACCATGGGGATAAGGAACAGAACAGTGGTTGCCGGGGGTTGGGGTGGGGAGGATGTGAGTACGAAAGGGTGCCAGGAGAGTTTTTTGGGGGGAACTGTTTTGTATCCTGATCGTGGGGATGGTTACACGAATCTATACATGTGTTAGAATTTGTGAAACTGTACACTCAAAAGTCAGTTTTACCACATGATAATTTAAAAAATGAAATAAAAATAAAACTAGAAAATAAAAGACAACAAAGGGTCAACCAATGTGGAAAAGCACCAGCTTCACCCAGTTATCTGTGTACCTCCTTCCAAAGTCCAATATATTTCGCCCATGCTATACTTTTATTCATTCATTCAGTACACGCTTATGTAGCACTTAATATGTGCCAAGCAATTTAAAAATAACTATAAAAGAATTCTGACTGATGGGAAGAATTCAAGACAGGCAATCACTTCACCTCTGGGTTTTACATTAGGAAATCATTCTTTTCAATATGTATACATAATGCTAAGAATAATATCAAAGCAATGCTTGGAAAACAAAGTTGTTTTCCTATAGAGTCCTGTGAGATCGGGAAGGGAGATTTTAGAGAGATAGAAACTGAACTGAGATTCAAGGAGGTTGACAGGTCCAGTTTAACAGGGTGTATTAGCATTAAAATGCAACTTTTCAAATTCCCAGGCAAGGGCTTTAATTCCATGTTAAAATGCTTTGTTCTAATGTTGCAATATGTTTCAAGATTCTTAAAACTGTTCAGACCTCTGTTCTCGTTGTTCCATTTCTGAAACTCTAAGGACATAAGGTGAAATGTGAGTACATCTTTGTTCTAAAGACATCTAGTGCAGTGTTATTTACAATTGCTTAAATCTAGATGTCTAGACTCACAGGAAATAAGGAAACCCATCTATGTTATTGTCTAGCCTTTACAAACATTTTAGTAGCAGCATAATTACTTGGAAATATGTTTGACACAATGTTAAAAGAATAGGATATAAAATTTTACATATAAAATAATCATTATCATGTTTTAAAGAATAATTCTGGGGAAAGATCATGCAAATACTGATGATGAAAGGAAAAAATTGGAAGAGCCAATTTTTGAGGTCAATTTCAATAGCATCAAAAATATACACAATCTTCTCTAAAGAAGATATACAAATGGCCAATAAGCACATGAAAAGATGCTCAATAAAATTAGTCGTTAGGGAAATGCAAGTCAAAAGCACAACAAAATACCACTTCACACTCTCTAGCATGGCAATAATGATGATGATGATGATAATAATCATAATGGTAATGGAAAATAAGTGATAGCAAAACTGTGGCCCAGCTGGAACTCTTGTGTACTGCTGGCGGGAATGTAAAGTGCTGCGGCCACTGTGGAAAACTGTTCAGCAGTTTCTCAAAAAGTTAAGCACAGAATCACCATATGACCCAGTCATTCTATTGTTTGGCATGCACCCAGGGGAACTGAAAATAGCTGTACGAGCAGGAGCTTCATACTAGCGGCACTATTCACAGTGGCTAACGAGTGGAGGCTGCCTGGGTGTCCATCAACCAATGAGTGGATAAACAAAATGCAGCCTGTCCAGACAACGGAATATTATTCAGCCCTGAAAAAGAATGAAGTGCCCTGGAAACATTATACTGGGTGAAGGAGGCCAGACGTGGGGCCACAGCCTACACAGTTCCACTTATATGAGTGTCCAGAATGGACAAGGCCATGGAGACAGACAGCAGCAGGTTGGTGGTTGTCAGGAGGCACAGATGAGGAGTGACTGGTGGGTGTGGGGTTTGCTGTTGGTGTGATGAGAATGTTCTGGAACTGGCAGTGGTGATGGTTACACAGCAATGAATGTACTAGATGTCACTAACAGCAAATTTTACGTCTATTTTACCAAAATGAAAAATATATATACATAAACTTTGCCACACCAATTTTGCTAGGGTATTATTCTAAAGATAGAATCATGAATGTGGCAAAGATTTTACAAAATGGGGTTCACTGTGTGAGTATCATTGCTGTTATAAACAATGGCAAAAATTTTGAAATTACCCCATTTCCTAACTACAGGGACTCAGTTAAATTAATGAGGGTATACATTAGAATGGTATGTAGTTACTAAAACTTATGTTATAGAAGAGTTTAATGACAGGCTTTAGCAATTCAAAGTGGAAAAAATCAATTTACCTCCCTCCCCAAAGTATGTATGTACAGATGTATATTCTATGTATATACACAGAAAAAGAAACCACAGGGATCTATATCAAAAGGGTAAATTAGTCATGATTTTAATTTTTTCAATATTAAAATAATAAGTGCTAGTAATTATTTGCTAAGTATTTTGCACTGTTGTAAATTCTGTCTATCATTAAATTGTTTAATTCTTACAAAGACTCTACGAAGGAAGTGAGGGTTACACAGCTGGTAAGTGAGGGAGCTGGGATTCGAACCCAGGGACTGTGGCCCCAGAGAATGAAATTTTAACCATTATGGTGTAGAATCTTTTTGTTTAATCTACAGATTCTAAATTTTCTATGATGATCACATTTGGTGATATAAGAGGAAAGAAATTTATTTTAAAAAATGATCAACTTAACCATAAATTGTGAGAACTGTTTTCATTGCAGGCGTGGAATACAGGTATTTTTAAATTCTCTTATTTGTCTAGGTTTTCCAAATTTCCTTTAATGAATATGCATTGCTTTTAAAATGAAAGAAAAAATATCCTCTTGAATAAGGTAAAACAAAGCATGGTGCCAGACTTTTAAAGCCATGCCTCAAAGGAAAAGTCTTTTATCCCTGTAGCCAAGGACCCTGTAGACTTGAGCTCTAAAGCAGCCAACTGCTTGTGGGCCAGAGGGAGGAGAGAGGTGCTGGTGGGGGTCCCCAGGTGAACGCAGCAGGTGGGGCCAGAGGAGTAGCCTCTCGTGCCCTCCCCGGTGGAGAATCTCCATCCTTACCTTGCAGGGCCTCCTCATGCTTTCCTTCCAGGACTCTTTGCTGTTCATCCAGTCTCTCTTGAAGCTCTAGCTCCTTCTCCTTCTCTACCTGGGGGTGGAAGGTCCCAGGCAGGACTGAGACCGAGTATGTTCAGCATAGCATCTCTTACCCACTCACCACCCATGGAGCTTGGCAATCAGAGTCCCACCCTCCGAGTGATGAGAATGACATGCCCAGAGAGGGCACAGGACTTCCAAAACACAGGAGGCATGGCAGACTTCACCCTCTTCAGGGGTTCGAAGGGGGTTCCCAGATAATTACTTAGGTAGAGAGGGCCATAGGAGTCTTGTCAGCCTGATACTCATAGCAGGAAGCCTCTCTGTTTGCAATAGCTCCTTCACTCTCCAGGCTGCATGTTCTAACCATGGGTAGGGCTTATTCTTCCAAGTTACCTCTAACTTCCACCCTCAGGGTCAAGATCTGCTCCCTGGGGTCACATAGAACCAAGCTGCTTCCTCAGCCCAGGCAGCCCCTCAGAGATCTGGGCACAGCAGTTGTGTTCCCAAAGTTTCACTTCTCCAGACTAAATGCTCCCAGCCATTCTCCCTGTCCCTGGCTTGAGAAGTTTTCCAGTCCCTACACCACCTTAAGGGTACAGCTGGTGGGCATACCCAGAAGCAAGGCACAATTTAAAGAGGTTTCGACCCCAGCCTGCCAGTCAGTTCCTGTGTGCCCTGGGACCAGCTTCCTCCCCTTCTCAGTCATCGGCTCTCCCTCTGTACATTGAAGGGATCCAACTTGATGATTTCTTTTTTTTTTTTTTTTTTTTTTTTTTTTTTTTTTTGTCTTTTTTCTTTTTTTGTGTGCGGCAACGGATCGCAACCCTCAGTTTGAAGGGATCCAACTTGATGATGTCTTTTTTTTTTTTTTTGTCTTTTTTCTTTTTTTGTGTGCGGCAACGGATCGCAACCCTCAGTTTGAAGGGATCCAACTTGATGATGTCTTTTTTTTTTTTTTTGTCTTTTTTCTTTTTTTGTGTGCGGCAACGGATCGCAACCCTCAGTGTTGCACCCGCACCTCGCTCAGCCAGTGAGCGGGAACCGGTCTGTATGTGGGATCCGAACCCTCAGCGGGAGCGCCGCCGCACTCCCAAGTGGCGCACTGTAGCAGTGCACCACCGGGCCGGCCCTCCAACTTGAGGATTTCTAAGGACCCTCACAAGTCTCATGGTTAAGGATAATGCAGGTGAAGGTCAGGGCCAAATGACACAAGGACTCTACCAAAACAAACAAAAGACCCACAGACATATGCAATTAACCCACTTTTCTTAAAAGGTGCATTTCAGAAAAATATGTCTAAGCAGAGAATGTTTTAACATGTTTGCAGAAGTCACCACAGCCTTCGACCTAGTGAGCACCTTGAGGACAGACTCCTGACCCGATCCCTCCCCACACCTCACCCAGTGCCGAGGCAGCACCTTCCTGCACACAGAGAGCCCTCCCTGTGTCTGCTGAGTGAATGGAATCCAGAGGAAGGTCTTTTAGTAACAAATAACCACATAATTTAATAGAGTAATTAATTTGTAACTACAAAGCCATTTTTAAAAATAGACTTTAAATTTCAGAATTCTGAATATTTACACAGAGTATGTTTCATATTTATGATTTAAAATGACCAATAAAGATGAGTTGCTGAAGAAAACTTTTATTCACCATCCCAAGATCTTTCCTACTGCTCTACCATCTCCTTCTGGTAAGGGAGGAAGCTGAGGTAGAGAGCAGGGAAGGGTTAGTGACTGAGCTGGAATGAGGAAAAGGAAACCCTGGGCTGTGGGTTGCATTCAGTCATCACATCTCTCCAGCCCTTTTTTTCCCTTTTTTATTGGTTATGAATATTCATGAGATACAAAGCTGATCATCACCCCTCGGGCCTAAGATGAGAAGTTCAGATTCATGCTGGCAGCATATCCATTACTACAAATAACATTTGTACCCCGTGTCCCCCACCCAATTATCCCCAACCTCCCTCCCCCTCCCCCACCCACTCCACTTTGTAGCCCAAAGAATGTTCTCTCCCTCTGCAAGTCCAATGCACTACTGTGGTCTTTCTTTCCTTCCTTTCTTTGGTTTCCTTTGATCTGGAATTGTTCTTCAGCCTTTCCTCATCTTTCATGACCTTGACAGTTGACTAACATAGGCCAGTAATGGTTCAGAATGTCCCTCACCTTTCATTTCCAAATAATTTTTTTTTTTTTTTTTTGTCTTTTTTCGTGTCTGGCAACGGATTGCAACCCTCAGTGTCACGCCTGTACCGGACCGGGACCAGCAACGGGACCGCAGCCCTCGGTGTTGCGCCGCACCTCGCTCAGCCAGTGAGTGGGAACCGGTCTGTACGTGGGATCCGAACATTTTGTCTTTTTTCGTGTCCGGCAACGGATTGCAACCCTCAGTGTCACGCCTGTACCGGACTGGGACCAGCAACGGGACCGCAGCCCTCGGTGTTGCGCCGCACCTCGCTCAGCCAGTGAGCGGGAACCGGTCTGTATGTGGGATCCGAACCCCTGGCAGGAGCGCTGCCGCGCTCCCAAGCGGCGCACTGTAGCAGTGCGCCACCGGGCCGGCCCCATTTCCAAATAATTTTGAAAGCCCCAATGTCACCTCCTCTAAGAGGCCTTCTCTGATCCCACACACTTAGTTAAGTGCTTCTTTTATATACTTTCACAACACTCTAAACCTTTCATAGCACTTATAACTGCAGTAAAATAACTGTGATGGTGTTTAACATCCAACTTCCTGTCTCAGTCAAGATAAGCCCAAAGTAAGCTAAATTATGGGCCATAACAAACAGCAGCAAAGTTTCAGTGGCGTAAAACAAAAGGCTTAATTTGCACTCACTGATGCCCATTTTGGGTGGGCAGGGAGTTCTGAGTCCAGGGGTACAGGATGATGGAGCCACCACTGTTTCAAACAATGCTGGTCACTTAGCTGGACAGAAAAACCTCAAGAGTCTTGAACCAGCATTTAGATGCTTGGCTCAGAAGTGACGCTGGGTCTTCTTTTCACAACTCATTGGCCAGCACTAGCCCCACGGCCCTACCCACCATGAGGTGGGCTCGGAGGGTAATTAATCCCACAGCACCAAGGACATTTACTCTTCCCAATCAGACTGTCAGCTTTTGGAGAGCAGCTGCCACTTCTGCTTGCTTCAACCAATGTGACTGGCATGTAGTGGCCTGATATCAATATGTGTCTAACAGATAAAGTACTCCCTTCTTGGAAAAAGAAGAGGTACCTACTACAACAATAAAAGCCACAGTAGGTCCTCACTCTGAGATTTATCAAGGTTAGCTGGGCAGGAGGCAGAGAGAGGGGAAGGTCCCCTGGACTTACCTGCTGTGCCAATTTCTTCTTCTCCTCTTCGTGTTGCTGGAGAATTCTTGTTATGTCCTGGTGCTGCTCTACCTCCTCAGATGCACAGAGATGAACAGTTGTGGCTATAGGTTAAAAAGCCAAAATAATCACACAGAACAGAGGTGGGGTCAGGGCTGGCAGAGAGAGTGTGGGAGGCCAGGGCTAAGGGATAAGAACCCTGATCTCTACCTCAAGAATGGTTTTAATGGGGACCAACCTCCAGAGACAGCTCTCAAATCTCTCTGGCTTGGGAGATCCTCCTTCAAGGCAGGAGCCTTGTACCCTATATCTACAGCAGAGCTGGCAGCTCTCAGGACAGATTCAGCCCATGGAGCTGTTCTATCGGTGCCACCCAATATCTAAATTGTAAAAAGTTAGTTGCTGATATTCATTAACTGGGAAGCTTTTACTTAATAATACAGATTTCCAACTTTTCTTGATGAATCCAAAGAACTGGCAGTGTAGGCCTTCACATCAACCAGAGGCAGGGCCGAGCAGCAGAGACCAGGGTGTGCCTCTGGCAGTTGGCCACGGTCTCCCCCTTTCCCTACTGAAGATGTGTGCAAGGGGCCACCTTGTTGTCTGTGGTACCTGTGGAGGCCTGTGAGCATCTACGTGTGTGACCCCTCACCATTAGTGCCTCCCCAGCTGGAGACAGAGGGGCTGCTTGTGAGCAGGAAGGAGGCACCAACAGGAAGTCTAGCCCTTGCTTAGGGAAACTCCAAAACAGGCCCTGCTGATGCCACTCTGAGTGTAACAGACACGGGGTGTGACCTAATGCAGTGACCATGCTCTCTATGCCTCAGTTACCTAGTATGTGAAATGAGGAAGATAATGGTACCTACCAGGAGGTACCATGAAGCTACCGAGATGGTTACATCAGAAGACAATGGTAATGCAAATAACAAAAGCAGGAATGGAGTCCTGAGAGCTTACCAGGCCCAGCGCTGTGCCCAGTGCTCACGGGTATCACTCATATAACCCTCACAAGAACCCAGTGTGTTTGTACTACCATTATCCCCATTTCACAGATGAGGAAACTGAGGCACAGAGAAGTTATGCAACTTGCCCAAGATCACCCAGTTCACAGCTGGGGAAGCACGAATATGAACCTGCACAATCTGGTTCCACAGCAGACGCTCCTCACTACCACCTTGCTCTGATTGCTTGTGCACAAAGAGAAATGTGGTGCCAGGCACTTTGGAGGTGCTCCATAAACATTCTTTACTGTTCATTAAATGTCCTCTAAGTGTTCACGAGTGCTCATGACAAGCATTAGAGGCTGATACTAGTGTTGTCAGCATTATTGTTAATGTTAGCATTGTTATTAGAGAATGCCATAGACAGGGTTTGGCAAAGGGTATGGCTAGAATTGTTAGGACGAGAAAGAAGTCCGCAGTGGTTAGTCCCAGCAAGAGAGGAGGAGAAGTGAGTTGGAGGCCCTCAGTCCTGAGCTCCCAGAGGCCATGAGGAGACAGACAAATGTTAAGTAATAGCAATGGTGAAGATCAGAGAGCCTCAGACTCTCACACATCATTTGGCTCAAACATTGGGTCCATGAGAGCAGGACTAGACTGGCCCCGGCTGGAGAGAAGCTTATTAAAAAGATGTATCCTTACTAAAAATGCAGATTCTTCTGCCCCACTCCCAGAGATTCTTATTTAGTTGGTCTGTGATAGGTCTCCAGAATCTGTATCTTTCAAGTTCTCCAAGTAATTCTTATATACAGTCAGACTGAAGTACCTCTGAACTCTGGTCCGATTGCCTATCTGGTACTTGAACTTTATCTACAATATCCCCAACAGCCTCCAGGCTGTAATTAAACACCTTCAAAGATAGGGAGCTCAATCGATTACCAGGTAGCTCTGATGGTTTTAAAAAAAACAACCACAGAAAAAATTCTGAGCTGAATTCTGCCTGCATGCTGTTGCTACCTTGAGGCCCTAGAACTAACCTCTGGGTCACACTGAACAAGATTCATCTTTCTTTTCCATTAGGGCACTTCAGACATATGGAGAGGGTATTGTTTTATGGCAACATCTTCTTTCCATGTGGAACATTCCCTGTTCCTTCAACTGTTCCTTACAGGATATATTTTCCAGATTCTTCACCAGCACAATCTTGCTCCATTATACTCCAATATTTCTGGATCCCCCTGAAAATGTATCCTCCAGAAATATATACGACACTCTAGATGTGGTATCAACAGCCCAGAACAGGGAAGCACAGGTTAAGACCATCACCTCCCTGATTTTAGACTTGATGCTCTTAATGTAACCCACCTAAGTCTTCATGAGATATATTTAAGTAGCTATATCACCTTTGCTGTGGTATCAACAGCCCAGAACAGGGAAGCACAGGTTAAGACCATCACCTCCCTGATTTTAGACATGATGCTCTTAATGTAACCCACCTAAGTCTTCATGAGATATATTTAAGTAGCTATATCACCTTTGCTGATTACAAGGTAGGAAACCTCGTGGATGTCAGTGGGGATGCTTATGGGTCTGGCTACTCACCCGTGTCCCCATTGAGGGGACCTAGTTCCTGGGGCTCTGGCCTGGGTGGCTGATCTGGTTCTCGGCGCCTCTGGAAGAAATAAGACTACAATGAGGTGAGGGTAGTGGGTGGGAGGTCAATGTGAGGACGGATGAGACTGCGCTGAATTCTGCCTGCATGTTGTTGCTACCTTGAGGTGAGGCATGGCACCTCTCCCAGGCCCTGGTGCTCCAAATCTGCTCAGTGACTAGGAGGTTCAAGGTAGCTTAGGGGATAATTGGCAGAGTCAAGCACTTGAACCATACCTAGTGGGATTCTTCCAAAGTCAAGGCAGGACTTCCGGTTACACCAGACCCTGCCCCATGCCCAGTTCACTTAGGCTGCCTCCCTCAGGAGCCCCAGGTGGCACTCCCTCTGCCAGGGGAGGGGCTTCCCAGAGCAGGAGTTTTCATCAACGCCAGGAAAACCCTCAGCGGGGACTTTGATGCTGGCTGACCTTTCCTTAGATCCGTGTGGACTGGCTCCTGCTGCCACCCATGGGGACCTCCCTGCCCACCTCTTCCTTCTCCTGGGATTTGGCCAGACCTTCTGCTATTGCCCTCACCCCAGCTGTGGTCTTGAGGTGCCCTAAAACTTTCCAGCCCTCAAGTCAGAGATGATGCCCCTTTCCTCTCAGGGACTATGGCTATGCCAGCTTCCAGC